CGGTTTGCCTCAGCCTTAGGTTCTGAATGACTCTACAACCAAAGTCCCCATATCCCCACAGTCCCCATATTCACACAGTCCCCATATTCCCACAATCCCCATACCCTCATAGTCCCCATACTCCCATAGTCCCCATACCCCTATAGCTCCCATACCCCCATAGTCCCCATACCCTCATAGTCCCCATACCCCCATAGCCACAACTCTTCTCACTAACCCAGTGGAACAGTCCCAGAATCTTCCTCCCCAGCTTCTCTGGGTGCTGCCTGCTGGCACCTCAGCTTCTTACCTCCACCGCTCACCCTGGTCCAGCCGAGCACACTAGCGTTTAGTTATCACAGATAGCACCCCAATAGAGCTCTCACCACTCCTTGCCTGCACTGTGTTCCCCACCTCTCCTAGTGGAAGCTCACTCTTCCATGCCATCTGAGGCCATCCTGCCAGTTTCCTCTATAAAGTGACAGGCATTTCCTGTGGCCCACAGAATAGGGTTCAGACTCCCTAGAAGGGGACACAAGGCTGTCTCCTTGCTGACTGCAGCTGTCCTTCCCCAGAGCACATCTGCACATGCTGGCCTCTGTGCCTTCCAGCCACGGTGGACCCCACATCACTCGCCCAATACAGCTTCCGCTGTGATTCTTCCATTTCTTTGTGATGTGCCTGGAGCCTGTGACAACCCTGCACTTTGTGTCAGTCCACCTGACTCCTCCCATGGTTCCAGCTCAGCCCTGAGTTCCCTCTTCCAGGAAGTGTTCCCTGATCTATGCCTCAGAACCGGCCCCTCCTGTTCCCACAGGGCCTTGCCTGTTCCCACAGGGCCTTGCCTGTTCCCACAGGGCCTTGCCTGTTCCCACAGGGCCTTGCCTGCATCAGCTTCGGACAGCGCTCTTGCCTCTTTGGGCTCGTGTCATGGTTTGCATTTTGAAAACCTTGTATGCTCATGGTTCGGTCTCTAGCCTGTGGCACAATGAGGAGGAGGCAGCGATGGAACCTCTAGGAAGTGGGACCCAGAGGGAGAGAGTTAAGTCACGGTGGGTGCACCCTTGAAGGAGCTGTTGGGATTCCAGCCCCGTCGTCTCTCGCTTTGCTTTTTGTCCTCCATGGGGTGAGCACTTGGCTCCCCGACACACTCTGTGCCATGGCACTCTGCCTTACACAGAGCCAACTGGTCATGGGTCTAAACCCCTGAAACCGCCTACATACAATTTTCCTCCTTAAAAATCTCAGCTACTTGTCACAGTGAGAAGGGCAACATACCTTGTCCTTTAGATGTTGGAAGAAAGCTCTCTCCTCCAGCTCCAGAACACCAGCACTCTGTGTCACTGAGCTGGGTGTCCTTTTCATTCTGTTAACTCAGTACTCTAGGAAGTTAAGTTAAAATGGCAGTGTTAGCATGCATAACAACGATACTGTAAGACACTGTGGGGTCCTCCAGAATTTGTGTCTGCCACAATTTTACTAAATTGGATGTGTTTTAATGGTGCTAAGAATCATCCTGAAGTTCAGCAAATATTTATGGAAACTATCAGTTTCTGGATTCAGCTAAGGATGCCCCAGCAGAAAAGGCAAGGCTCGTTTCTCACAGACCTTCTGTTCTTTGGGAAGGAGACAGACCACTTAGAGGTACAGTGTTGGATGGTGAGACATACCGTGAGGAGAGGAAAGCAGCATTTGGGGTCAGGAAACTCCAGTGGGTTGACCCAAAGCCTTGAGGAAGTAACGTCTGCGCAAACCTTGACATTGAGAAAACTGTGCCAGGCAAAGACCTGGAGAAAACAGCTGTGTGTCACAGTGCGGTGAGGAAAGGCAGCACCCGTGAGCTTGGCCTCTTTCAGGAAAGAAGAGAGGGTCCCTGTGGTGGTTTGAATGAGAACGTCCCCCACAGGCTCCAAGTGTTTGGACATCTTGTCCCCAGATGGTGGCGCTGTTTTGGGAGGTCTTAGAAGGTGTGGCTGTCCTGGAGGAAGCATGTCACTGGGGGCGGGCTTAGAGAGCTTTCAGCCTTGCTGGATCCCCAGTTGCTCTCTTGTTTCCTGTGCCTGCTGGAAGATGTCCAGCCTAACTTCCGCATCTGCCCCAGCCACCTCCAGCCACCATGCCTCCCTGCCGTGAAGGCCTGTATTTCCCCTGCACCCCTAAGCTCAAATGAATTTCTTCCTTTCATAAGTTGTTTTGGCCAGTGTTTTATCACAGCAACAGAAAAGTGACTAATACGGTCCCCCTGGTGTGAGCTTAGCATATCAACAGCAGAAGGGTGCGCGGTTGAGGCCAGGTCGTGGAGGTGAAGGTCAGAAGTCTGGATTGACATATCAGTACAGTCCCCAGTGGGTTTGTAAATGGTGTGTATGTAAATGTAAGGTCACCATCGAGGATATTTAAGGGGTGCTGGCACATCGGTCTTCATAAGTCCTCTTGTGAGTGTAATGCTAGTGCTTGCTTAGTGAAACACAGCCGCCATCCTCCACCCAGTCCGCCCCGTTCTCCGAGTGGTCCTTGCCCCTCTTCCACATACGCTCAGCCTCTGAGACGCTCGTGAGCCTTGTCTACAGTTGTGACACAGACTGATTCTGCATGAATGATCTGGTTAGCCTCATTGGCAGTAGATACACAGTACAGATTTCTAGAATGTGTGGAATTCCTTTATAACTTTATACTTTGAGGGCTCTAATGTGTGATAGGATATTGAATTTCCACACATTGGAGCTTAAGAGAAAGGGGATTTGAAAAATGGTGTCTGTGGAGCGACCATACCATGCCAGGTGTTTGGGGGTGTTTTGCAGACATTCTGGTCTTCCTGAGCCTATGAGCTCATCGTCGGCTCTACTTTATGGATGAAGCAACCCGGGCAGAGCGATTACCTGTCCAAGGTCAGGCAGCTAGAAAGGGAACTCCGAAGTCCATTCTCTAGTCTCACCACCTGTCCATGTTTCAGTGGGTGAGTGTGGACTCCTGGCGTCTGCCCACTGTTGGCTGTGACCCTGGGGAGCTTGGAAAAGCTATTTGCTCTCTGCTGTATTTTCCTTGGCTGAAAAGCAAGGTGACCACAGTGCTTTGCTGGTGGCTTCTGTGCCTGTCAGGCTGTGTGACACCTAGTGGCAAGCACCACACCAGTTCTGACCTTGCTCTTCCCGCTCTGCCCTGCTCGAAGCTTGAAGGCTTCCTGAAAGAGAACAACTACCACTTCCAGAAAAACGAGCTCCAGAGTAGTGAGGTGTCTCAGCCAAGCTCCCAGAGCCCAGAAGCCCAGCTTCCTGCTCTGTGTTTCTAGCCACTCCCCATAACCTAGGATATTTTTGAAGGCGAGGGGTCGGTGCTTGCTCACTAAGCTCGCACACCTCTTGAGCGTGCTCCCTTCCTCCTGTGTAGCCCCAGCTCACGCCGCTCCCTACCACCTGGCTCATGTTCCTCATTCAAATCCACTTACATGTGCAGCGAACAAAGTCACGGGCACCTGCTGGGAGGGAGCAGTGGGTGAGTTATTGGCTGCTTGTAGTCTACCTACCAAGTCACACCTGAGTATCTATCTGTTTACTTGACTGTGTGCATGTGTGTGCTCTTGTGTGTAGTACATGTGTGCTCTTGTGAGTTCACACATGTGTTGTGTGTACATGTGCATGTGTTTGCATGTGTGCTTCCATATATGTGTGTGTGTGTGTGTGTGTGTGTTCTTTTGCCGTGGACGACCATGCACCTCTGGATCCATTTGTCTCCTTACGTGGAATGTGTTGTCTAGCCCATTTTTGTTTGTTTTGTTCTGTTCTTGAGAGAAGGAAGTGCTGGGGCCTTGAGATGAATTGGAGGGAGAGGAAACAGGCGAGGAGGGAGAGCGAGGCAAGACTTCCCAGAGGCACTGAAGTTCTTGCAAGACGTCCAGGGTAAAGGGCATGGCTTGCTACATAAAGTAATTTTCTCTCTCTTTTAGTGTGTAGACTTAGTAAAGCAGGATCAAACAGACCGTACTGTGGTGTGCATTGTAAGTGGAAGATGTTGGGAGCTTCCCGTGGAGTTCCGTCTTGGTTTTCCGGTGGATGGGAGAAAATGCTTCTCTCAACCAGTTCTGAATGAGTTCTTTTCCAAGAATCAGCTGTAAGGCCTCATCTTCAGAAAGTGCTCTGTGGCTTTCAAAGCGCCCACGGGTGTATTATCTTTTCAACCTTCACATCGACCTCAGGAGGTCAGCAAGGAAGAGCCACTGCGTTTGTTTTGCTGTGAAGAAGCTGCAAGCCAGGAAGTGAAGAACGGTGGCTTCAGTGACACAACTGTGACCAGAGCCAAAGTCTCCAAGTCTCGCGCGTTGCTAAGGCGTATTGTCTCTTTACTGTTGTTGTTTTCAGTGCTGGGGATGTAGCTCAGCACGCTGTACGTGCTAGACAAGCGCTATACCATTGGGCTACACCCTCAGCCCCTTTTTGTTCTTGATAACTGAAAATGAAGGTGAACAGGGGCTGGAGAGGTGGCTCGGCGGTTAAGAGCACTGACTGCTACTGCAGAGGACCCGGGTTCGATTCCCAGCACCCACATGGCAGCTACAAACCATCCCTAACTCCGGTTCCAGGGGAATCCAAAGCCCTGTTCCGACCTCCGCGGCATTGCACGGCACGGGTGCACTCACATACATGCAGGCAATACACTCATACACATAAAAAATAATAATAAATAAAATATTTTTTAAAAAGAAAATGTAGGTGGACCACATTTGCACATGGGTCATGATATTGTTGCACATTTCTTACAGGTCCAGTGAGCCCTTCGCTGCCACCTATGGACTCCCAAAGATCACCAGAGGAAACTGTCCTCATTACGGGAGGAGGTGGATATTTTGGCTTCCGGTCAGTTCATATACAAAATATCTCCTGGCATTATTTTCCTGGTGGAGATTTGAAAAGCATAGCTTTCAATTCTGGTATTTAACTCAGTAGACATTTACCTTTGTATGATGCAAAATCAAAAATGAACTGCAGTACTCACTGCCCAGATGCTGAGATTGAATACCATAGACATATTTCACTTCAAGAAATACTCTTTATAGAAGCTACTAAAGTGGGACCTGGTGGCTCTTCACATCTCCAAAGATGACTTAAAATAATAGCTGTGTTAGTTACTTTTCTTGCCTTTGGGACTAAATACCTGACAAGTAGCTTAAGGGAGGAAGAGTTTATCTGAGCTTATGGTTTGCAGGGTACAGTCCGTCATAGTGGGGAAGGCATGACCCCAGGGGTGTGAGGCGCTGGTCACACGGCACCCTCAGGCAGGAGGGGGGGGCCAGGCTATCACACCTTAAGGCCCACCCCCAGTGGCCCACAGCCTTCAGTCGCCCCAGGGGTGTGAGGCGCTGGTCACACGGCACCCTCAGGCAGGAGGGGGGGCCAGGCTATCGCACCTTAAGGCCCACCCCCAGTGGCCCACAGCCTTCAGTCAGGCTCTGCCTCCTAAAGGCTTCATCCACAGCCTTCCTAACAGCACCTCCAGCTGAGGACCCAGTGTCCAAGCACCTGAGCCTGTGGGGGACAGCTCAGGTTCCAACCACAACAGACATTCTCTCACAGTGATGTCATTCTAATGTAAATAGATGAGCGGGCTCTCATTTTTCAAGTTGTAAATAAGACCTGTGCCAATGACCCTGAAAAACAAGTAACTCAGGGTGAGGCACGTGGCTCGGGTGAGCCCTACCTCGATCGGCAAGCTACTTCACACCCTTTCCTTAGACACAGCTACAGGGTGACTTGACCTCGGTTCTGATTGTCATCGTTTCAGCCTTGGCTGTGCTCTGAACCGGAAGGGGGTCCACGTGATTCTGTTTGACATCAGCAGACCTGCCCAGACCCTTCCAGAAGGAATCAAGTTCGTCCATGGAGACATACGCCACCTCTCTGACCTGGAGTCAGCTTTCCAGGTTGCTGACATCACATGTGTGTTCCACATTGCCTCTTACGGTATGTCTGGGAGGGAGCAACTGAATAGAACCCTGATCCAAGAAGTCAACGTGTGGGGCACAGACAATGTCCTCCAGGCCTGCCAGAAGAGAGGGGTGCCCAGGTTAGTCTACACAAGCACCTTCAACGTCATCTTTGGAGGTCAAGTCATCAGAAATGGGGATGAGTCTCTGCCTTACCTGCCTCTTCACCTGCACCCAGACCACTACTCCCGGACCAAATCCATTGCAGAGAAGAAGGTTCTGGAGGCCAATGGCTTGGCCCTGGACCAAGGCAGCGATGTCCTCCGAACTTGTGCCCTGAGGCCAGCCGGCATCTATGGGCCAGGAGAGCAGAGGCATCTCCCCAGGATAGTGAGCTACATTGAGAGGGGCCTGTTCAGATTCGTATATGGGGACCCCAGCAGTCTGGTGGAGTTCGTCCATGTGGATAACTTGGTGCAGGCCCACATTCTGGCCTCTGAGGCTCTGAGAGCTGACAAGGGCCACATTGCCTCTGGGCAGCCCTACTTCATCTCAGACGGCAGGCCCGTGAACAACTTTGAGTTCCTTCGGCCATTGGTTGAGGGCCTGGGCTACAGCTTCCCGGCCACCCGCCTGCCGCTCACCCTCATCTATTACTTCGCTTTCCTGGTGGAGATGGCCCACTTCGTTCTCGGTAGGCTCTACAACTTCCAGCCCTTCCTCACCCGCACCGAAGTTTATAAAACTGGAGTTACACATTACTTTAGCTTAGAGAAAGCCAAGACAGAGCTAGGCTATGAGCCTCAGCCATTTGACCTGCAGGAAGTGGTAGAATGGTTTAAAGTCCGTGGTCATGGCAGAAGGTCTGGAAGTCAGGACTCCGAACACCTCCCTTGGGATGGGATGCTGATCTTCCTCTTGACTGTATCTGTTCTCACATGGCTCCCTTCTTCTGTAGTTCTGTCAGTATGAAGCAAAAGCGATGCGTAGGGACCGATCCCACTGGCCGGGATGATGTTCAGGAGCACAGCTTGTAAAATTCTCTCCCGCTATCTGGTACCACTCTGGCCTACGAATTACTATTTAAGAATGAGTTCTTTAAATCCCTTTAGCAGGGGTGGGCTACCTTCTTGTGAGTTGTTGGTCAGGGAAGCCCTTAAGGCCCCCAAAACGATACAGACTATTGCCAGTGCTCTTGGCTACCCACCAGAACTAGATGGTGAGACCCTATTGCTGAAGACACCACACAGTTCGGTTGCAGCACATAAGGAAATCAAGCTGCTTTCATAGTGTCAGAAGGTGCTATGGAGGCCGCTGGGAGATAACTTTGATCAGCAGTCTTACTCAGCCATGGACCCCACAGACTATACTACCAACCACCACGCACACTACATACTGGTGCAATAGTGGCAAGGTTGCTAAGGAAGTAACCAACCTCTTTCCATTTGGATGTGCAGCCTGCTGCACAGGAGGTAATTAATTCACGCCTGGTGCTATAAACCAGGTCATAAGCTCATTGCTGAAGAGGTCATAGGCTCTAGCAAGTAGGCAATAATGTTAATTTGATAAATGGAGATGTTCCCATCAGATTGCTTTCTAAATATTGATGTTTACGCCCATGGACTAGTGCTGCTGTCAGCTTAGGTCAGTGGACTTTGTCACAGGTAGGTGGCCATTAGACTGCAGGGCCACGTAACTGGGAAAAGTGCTGAGATGTCCGATAAATGGGACATCTCTATCACCCCCTCCAAGGCTCGGGGGACATTGTGAAAGGAGGGTTGGAAAGAATGTAAGAGCTGGAGGAAGGGAGGAGAGCTCTGGAGTGCTGTGTCCCAGGAATGGCATGGCCATTGCACACACGCATTCACAGCGTCTGCAGTTACCTGCATGACACTGAGCCCACCATCATCTGTAGGCAGTCAGTGGTTGCAAGGGGCAGGGAGAGACTTTCCCCAGCGGTGCAGTCACTGGTGAGTTAACTCAGCTCCCATCAGAGCTCTAATGAAACACGTTGTATCATACACAACAAAAAGATGTGTGATAGAAGAGGGTCTGGCTGGAAGAGGAGAGGGGTGGTAGAAGTGGGAGGGGCAAGAGAAGGTGAGGGGTGGATATGATCAAAATATGTTATGATGTGCATGTCACTGGGGGCTTTCTGTAATGTCATAATGAAACTCATATGTAACTACTAAATGCTAATAAAGGAAGAAAGGATGGGTCTTGGATTAAATAGTCTTTACTTCTGTCCCAACTGACCCTGATTGGAGAAAAGGCAAGAGAAGTCTGAAGTTTGGTTCCTGTGAATCCTCAGCTGTGTACAACAGTAAGTCACTCTGAAGTGGGCTGGTCGGGGAGGAAAGGGCACTTGGTTGGGCTGGGAATACTTGTTTGAATGTCTCTAAAACCAAGATACACTACACCTGTCTCCACCTCACACACTGTGTGTATATCGAACAGTAAAACTTGGACTGGTATGGGAATGGCAAACACTGACAGACTTGATTACATGAAAGACACCAAATTGGGTCAGATCCCCAGCAGACCAACCTGGGGGATGGTGCTGCTCCAGGGAGGGGCAGTTGGCACTAGCTGGGCAAAGTGTTGGTGTAGGACTGACCCTTTGCCTTTGTGGTACAAGGGCACCCACCCTGTGTGTTTAGGCAGAGAGACCTTCCACCTGCCTCATTAGGACCCTTCTGGGATTAAATTAGATAATAATAGAGTACTGCTTGGCACCATGTGCTGCCATGGCTACAGGTACTGTTACTGAACATACCAGATGAAGGTTTTCTTCCTGGAAGTATTCCTTTTTTAGATGGGTTGTTGGCACTGAACTTTCTGGAATGTCTCTATGTGTTCCCTTAGAGACTACAACAATGTATACTTGGTGTCTGCAACTTTCTGACTTCTGTGGATAGACCCAAGGGTAGGAAACAGCTAAGATCTGACAATCAGTCTGCTGTTTTTAACTTGAAAGCACGGTATAACTCTAATACAGTGGCTTTCTTGCTGGGGAGAGTTTGGGCTCTGAAGGCAACTTCCAGTGAGGAGCAATGGCAGCCTTGTCTGACCACCCCCAGGATTTCAAGGGAAGATGATCACATGACACAGTTACCCAGGAACCAGAGTGGGAGACGACAGTTTTCACTGGAGCCAGGAAGGCAGTGCTGAAATATGGTGCGTGACGGTGATACAGTTTTTCTGGGAGGATTTGAGAATCAAGTAAACAGACAGGCCCTGGCAAATGCTGCCTGGATGTTTTGAGGGAAAGGAGTAAACTTGATGCCACAAGACCTACCTGTCATTGTTTGCTATGGCCTTACCGAGTACCCAGAGCCTCTTGAGAGCTTGGTGTCCACACCTAGGAATCGGGACTGACCACACTGGCCCCTTCTCTAAACCAGCCCATTTCAGGGTTTGTTGTGACCATAAAATAAGATGTGCTAGAAGTGCTTTGACCATGTGACTTGCAACATCACTGAGAGGTGGTAGTTGCTGGTCATAGGAAACGTTTGGGGAAGTCTTATAAAGGAGTTTTACTTCCATGAGCACATTCAGTATATCTAACACTCCAGGCCCTCTAGAGAAGGTTTCTCTGAAGTCCGCAGACTTTGACCAGGAGTGCGCACATGGTATCCACGTGAGTCAAGTTCCCACTGTCATCGAGAGCTAGAACAGGCTTTCAGAACATGTTCTCGATAACATCTGTTCCAGTTTGGTTTCTGTGGCTGTGATAAACACCATGAGTCAAAGCAAACTGAGGGAGAAAAGGGTTTATTTGGTTTATAGGTCAGAACCCATCATGGAGGAAAGCCAAGGCAGGAACTCAAGGTGCTCGGGCGTGTGTGCGCGCGTGTGTGCCCGCACACGTGCACATGTGTGTGTGTGTGTGTAGATACATGTGGAAGTCAGAGGTTAACCTTGTGTGTCATTCATCGGGAACCATCCACCTTGTTTTTAAGACAGAGTCTCTCACTGACCTGATGCTCACCAAGCAGGCTAAACTGGCTGTTTCCCAGGACATGTTTTGTTTACTAAATCCTTTCAGAAGTCACAGGCAGCCAGAGGTGCTTTGTCATCACCTCGATTACAAATAACTGTCAGGGCATCTTCCACTGTCCACTCCTTTCTAAACCCCCAGCCCACCTAGCTGGGTAGGCAAGATGGAAGATTACCCTGCTAAAGTTGCTTCCCAATCACAGCTCGGTGAGCAGGAGGAGGAGCCATGGGGCTGATGGAGCTCCCTGGACCAGCCTTGGCAACATATACCAGGCTGTCCTGTCCTATTCAAATCCACACTTTTTGCTACATTGGAGAAAGACTTTTAATGACAAAAATCCATTTGTACTGTGAAGGCTGAGTTATGTGGCCAGGAACAGAGGATCAAGAAGAGCCAGGAGATTAAAGAAATTCACAGAGCTCTGACAAATGAGGCATGCTTTTTTTCTCTGGGCAAGGGTACACAGGCAGGTAGACACTGAGCCAAAGTATACATGTTCGTGGTCCCAAGGACATTTATATAAAATCACACAAAGATGGCTTCTTACCAAAACTAGTGGCATAACAGATTACATTATTGTTTACTTGGGGGGTCCCTGTGTTGTGGGAAATTGAGGCACAGGATCTACCACACAGAGAGAAGGTACCAGGGGACTCACATGGAGAAATTGGTAAATTTTATCCACACCTACAGACTTACGCAGAGTTTCCTCCTAAAGACTTGAACTTGTTTAGTTCCTACACAGTTTTTATAAGTCTCCCCACATAACTCTTTAACTGTTACATCATTGGTGGGTTCGAGTTACCACCTACATATTACCAGCCAGCATAGATGCTTATGTGCCCTAAGACCATGGAGGGGAAATTCCTGCTGCAGGCATATTTGCAGAGCAGGTGTTTAGGACAAGAGTGAAGATTTTCTTTAACAACAGAGTTTATTGCAAGCAAAGGAGTTGCAAGCAGATGTTCCAGTAGATAACACACATTTTAGTAAGCATTTATAAAACCACTATAAGGTGAGTACTAGGCCCCAGCATACAAAATCAGTTGTAAAGCAACATTAGACACACACAAAAGTGACATTAAATGCATGAGTATATTTCATTTCCCCTTCACCTGGACATCTGGTGTAAGCCTTCCTGTGCTGACTCAGCTCTCCAGATGTGTTGTTCGCCATCTTGGAAATCCACACCAGTGCCCCGTGTTGTCTAAACATAAACAGACCCTCACAGTTTTGATTGATTTTCTTCCCCTACCCCTTCCACAGGACTGATTGCCACATGCAGGCCTGGCTTCCATCCTGCTGATGCAGACACTGGGTCAAGACGACCATTCAGGGTTCCCCATTCAACCTTTCTTCAGAGCCTGATGCCCAGGCCTCCAAGAACCCCCCAGAGAAGCCTTTGATCTGGAGTGGCTTCGCCAGAAGGATGGGTGTTTGTTGCCATGGTTACCCATCTCACAAGGAGAGAACTGAGCTCAGGTGATGCTGTTGGGGCTCCTGGGTCCCCTGTGACATATAGCCACAGAGGGTCCTTTGTAACATTGCTGCGGCCTCGTGATGCACCTGACCTGGATCAATTCATCCTCCATCATCCAGGCGATGAGTTTTCCTTTCTATTTGAGACTCCTTGCACTGGGTCTTCCCAGGAATTGGACAAGGTCCTGTCTGAGGGTGTCCACCGTCCCTAAGCACCCATGCCCAGGTAAGTATACCTATGCTGTGTCACTCTGTTTCCTCTGTGCCCTCTTCCTGACAAAGGGGCCTCTTTTGATAACTTTGAGGTGACGGAACATTCAATGTCATCCTCCAGAATTGGTTTCCTTGTTTAGAATTATGTTTACTTGAACCATGTTCAAACCCTGTAGATTTGGATTATCATGAACAATCTAGTTCTCGCTATCTTACTCTGTAAGAAAATGGACACAATGTCTTTCCCAGGACACAGACACCCAGCAGGCAGGAACCAGGCCTGTTTAGTCTACTTTGGTATCCAGAGAACACAGAGCCTGCCTTTCATCTGCCCAGTAAACACTGTTGACTATCAGATGCATTGACCAACAGCTGGTCTCTCCTCTGAAATCACAGCCAGTTTCCTAATTCTCCTTCTCTTTAACCCCTGACTCTTAACCCTACCCAGCAAAAAACACTCCAGTTAAAAACACAGGCTCCAGTGACATCACACAGAATGACAAAGGAAGAAGCTCTACGACTGGTCCTTTCATTTTTTAAATTTGTTTTTATTTAATTTCTGTGTATTTCTTTCAGAATATCTCAAACAATCATCTTTATACCCCGTCCCCACCGGTACCCTCCCTTAGCCCCCAACTGGAACCCATATAGTCTGTCATCTGTGTTAAGGCCCTCTGTTTTGAGTCAGTGACTTGTTCCCCAGTGCAAGTCCATCCACTGAGGTCTAATTGGCTTATCTAGAGTCCCTTGTTTTAGAAGGATCAGCCCTTCCTCACCTAGCAGGAATCAGTTACCAATATTTCTTCAGCTAAGATTGGGGTCTGCTGTTCATTTTCCCAGTTCTATGCTGGGTTTTTGTCTGCCTGAGTTCGCATGGGACTCAATTGGTCTTTTCACCGTAGCAACCAAACAATATCTGGGGACAGTGGGAGTAGGAAGTTGGCCACAGCCAGTGATTTCAGAACCATTTGTGTACTTTTTACAGTTGTGAGACTGAGGGACTACCATTGGCTGAGTATCCACATGCTAGGTGCATCTGTGTGTATGTTCTCATAGGTGGGCAGAGTGTGTGTGTGTGTGTATGTGTGTGTGTATGTGTGTGTGTATGTGTGTGTGTGTGTATGTGTGTATGTGTATGTGTGTGTATGTGTGTGTATGTGTGTGTGTGTATGTGTGTGTGTGAAGACAACTTAGGGTGTCATTTCTCAGGTGCTTTTTGTTTACAAGACAGGCTAGCTCACTGACCTGGAACTTAGCCAAGTAGCCACACCACTAGGCCAAGCTTTTTTGAGTTCTGGGCATCACACTCAGGCCCTCGTGCTTGCAGACAAGCCTTACCAGCTGAGCCATCACCCCAGGCTTCAGGTGTTTTCTATCCTCCACTAAGCAGGTGCAAATGCTCCCAGATAGCACGACATGCTACTTTGCAAGATGCTAACGAGGGGCACCTGAGTTCTGCTGGTACGTCCCTCTCCAATGTTTGGCTACAACAGGTGCTCAGTACCCCTTGGTTGAGTATATGTAGGGGCAGCA